AGGACCTTGAAGGTCTTCCACTGTGGCCTCCTCCACAAGGGAGCAGCTCCTTTCCAGGAGGCCCAGTCAGTCTCCAAACTCCCTTTTCAACCTCATGAAACTGGTCTTTCCATGGTTGAGCTGCTTTAATCATTGAAAATCCTGTCCTTGTTTTAAACTTAAATCTGACTTTTCTAATTTCCATCCATCAGTTGAACTAGTTCTCTCTGGAACAACCTAAACCATGTCTACAGCCCCCTGCCCCTGACAGCTCTCCACTTTCCAGCAGAGGCATGCACAGGACGTCCAACTGCTTCTTCTATGCAGTGGCTCTGGAAGCCTTCATCTTCCTGGTCCTCTTCCTCCGGATTCCTTCTAGTTTTATGTCTGGTTTCCAGTGGAACCTTTGGAAGTTCCCCATGCCACAAATAGACTTTATTAGGTAACCAACTCCCAGCCTCCTTACTTGTCTCTCACTTGGTAGTGGCTCCACTGCCCACACACGTCTTCAATTCCAGCCTTCAATGCTTGATTTGGGCTGGTTTTCTCGAATCAGGATTTTCCGTAAATATCTGTGATCAAATTTCTTAAACCTAAAAATGAAAACCAACATTTTGGAAATCTTCAATCTGTGTGTGCATTATATAAGTATGCATTTTTCATAAAACAAACTATTACTTAGCTTTATTCTAAAAATGTTAGGACAGTGCCTAGACTTCACAGCATTTGAACACATTTTTAAAAATTCATAGCACTTATGTGTTTAAAAAAAAAAATGGCCTACTGGCCTGCATCCATTGAAAATCAGCTAAACAAGAGGAAGGGGCAAGCTGACATCAGGGCAGAAAGCGTGGATAAGTGAGGTGGGGGAGGCCTGGCTGGCACAGCTCCAACTGTAGGAGCAGAAAGGAGGGGGTTGAGGCTTTTGAACAAGCGTTCCACTCTAATAGCCCCTAACAGTGGCAGCTGCACTTACAGTAATACTGGCCTATTCAACCAGAACCCCATATGTTTAAAGGGCCCGGTAGTTACAGTAGTTTTGTCCCATTATGCTGCAGATCATTTTGAATCCTGCCAATTAAGTAGCAGGAAAAAATCCAAAACCTTCCATATATGTCCCAACAGTCTGAATGATGGAGACTCTGAATAGGCAGACTCTGATGGCTGCTGCCTACTGTAGTACGCCTCTGGCCAACCCATTAGACTGAGCTGTGCACCTGCACGTGGCGCCTTCCAAGTCAGCCATGGGTTTGGAGTGGGAATTTTCAACACCTCCAGTCATTTTACATTCAGGGAGTACTTTGTCTACCAGCTTTATTTTCTGGAGGGGAACATAACTTCCTGGGCTGCTGGCTTATTACCTGGTGATTGGTTGCCTGGTCTGTAAATTAGTGGACTCTACCAGCGAAGTCCTCTCCAGGTTTAGCAGCCTGGCCTAGATAAAGAGACAAAAATCTGCAATCAGGTTAATGCATTACATATTTTAAAACATTCACTCTCCTCATCTGTTAAATACTGTCAAATGATTTTGAAAAATTTTGATTCGGATTTCCTTCAATTTAAATTTAGTTAATTTCCTCAGGGGACTCTGACCATGGAATTCAGGGCAGACTTTGGAAAACTTTGTCAGTTACTCTTAGAATTGCAAACACTCAGGGATGGAAGAAACGTAGAAATTGTCAGGTTTGATCATCCCCTCAATGCTTGAACCTCCTGTATACAGCTATGTGAGTGTTCCCAATCACTGCTTGGACACATCCACCCCACCTTTGGGTGTGCCAGTCAAGAAATGATTTTCCAAATGCTCTTCCATTAATTAAGCTGAAGTCTCTCTCTATATATACCTTCCACACGTTAGTTCTCATTTCTGTTCCTTGCAGCCATACAGAATGGCATCCCTTCAATATTGGGTTGGAATTAAACCAGCAGGTAGAAACCATGCTCACCTTCAAATTCACCTTTGCCAGAGTTTTCACCAAAAACTGCCGCTAGGCCATGTTTGCCAAAGCAGCGGTAACCTTTACCCCTTCCCTATTGAGAGTTCCAAAAGAGCAGAGGACTCCACATTTCACTGGAACAATGACTTTAGAAGCAAGTAAGACAACTCGGAATTATTAGTCACTGTGATTGTCTTTTGAAGTATCACCTTGGAAAGGCAAGACCCTAGTTATTCAATCCAACACTCTAGATGCTGTGAATGTATTTTGCAGATATGGTCAAAGTCCATAATCAGTTGTTAAGTATGTGAGATGACCCTAGATAATTTGGTGGGCCTGATCTGATCACTTGAAAGGCCTTAAGAACAGAGCTGAACCTTCCCTGATGAAGAAAAACTCCCACTGTGGACAGCAGCTTTCACGCCTGCCTTTCTTGATGGCTTCAGATTTCTGAAGACATTTTAGACTTTTTCTAGCCAGTCCCCAGAGAGAGTAAGACAATTCCTCACAGTAAACTTCCTCATATTTATCTCCTACTTGTTCTGCTTCTCTGTTGAACTCTGACAGAAACACAGCCAGCTTGGACTGAAGAGGAGAGAGGACGAAATGAAAGAAGGCTGCCACACCCCCAAAATTCTACAAGTAGAAACTGGTTGACAAAGCACTCAGCTGCAAAGGCATCTTACCTTTGTCAAAACGGAAGTAGACTAGAGGGTGGAGTTGAGAACCCAGAGGGTGAAAGACAATTACAGGTGATTATTCCCAGGCCTTGAAACCAAATAGAGCTTGTCCAGGGGGACTCTGAAGTTTGCTCGGGGTCAGTGACTCCTTTCTCCCTTCCATTTCCCCCTATTTGAAAGGGTCTGTCTATCACTGTTACGCAATGACTGTCCTGTTGTCTGTTTCGGGAGCGGATAATTTCTTTCTTGAGTTTCCCAGGTTCACAGATGAAGAGGAACTGTGCCTCGGGATAGATCATATACCCAGAGTCTCACCCAGCCCTGATTTAGAGGACGGAGATGATGAGATTTGGGACTTTTGAACTGAAAAGATTTAGATGGGATTTGGGATTTTGAACTGATGCTGTTGGCAGTGGGTGGAGACTTATGTTGGGATAGCGGGCATGTAGTCTGCGTGTAGGACAGACACAAATGTTTGAGTGACAGAGGGCAGAACTGTGGTAGGGAGATCAGTGGCCTCCCAGAGATGTTCAGCTCCTGATCCCTGATCCCCAGAACCTGTGACTAAGTTAGTTTACATGCAAAGAAGGATTAGGGCAGCAGATGTGCTGAAGGTTGCTACCCAGCTGACTGCGAGATAGAAAGACTATCCTGCATTATCTATACGGGCCCAACATAATCATGAAGGTCCTTCAGTGTGGAAGAAGACAGTGGAGGAGTCAATGTCAGAGTGATGCCACATGAGAGAGACCTGACCTGCCCTTGCTGGCTCTGAGGAGGGAAGGGGACACATGCCAAGGGATGCGCGTGGCCTCTAGAGGCTGGAAGAGGCGGGGAAACAGATTCTACGCTGGAGCTCTGTAACACCTCGAGTTTAGTCCGGTGAGGCCCATTTCAATCTTCCGACCTCCAGAACTACAGGATAATAAACTTGCCTTGTTTTATACTAAGATTGTGGTGATTTCCTACGGCGACGATAGAAAACTAGCACCGGGTTCTTGGTGGAACTGACGAGGAGAGAGGCTACAAGTCTAGTGACACGCACACGTATCTCATCAGAGGTGACAAATGGGAAACATCTCATTAATGTATCATAATAATGAAGAGATAACTTACACGGACATGAAGCTCTTCATTGACGGATTCTCTCTTATTAGTTTTTTTAACATCCAGGTACCTGACCAGAGGGCCAATTGTGATTCCCTAGATCAGAAATAATGAATTAAAGGGTTTTGTTGTGGTGAAGACCGTCACCGTAAAAAGTAAATCTATTAACAAAAATATTAAAACGTTCCACTTCTATGCTTGTTTTGTAGTAGCTTCTACAAATGCTCCGATCTTTAGTTCTTAATTATTTATTTTAAATGTTGCAATAAAAATAGATACTATGTTCTGTATTTTAAATAGGAATTTGGTTTCTCCCTTTAAAACAAACTTTCATTAGTTCCTTAAGAGCTAACTCCAGCTAAAATTAAAAACCATGCTATTTAGTCCTAATTGGAATCTCATTTTCAGAGACACACAGTAGAGCAGTTATCATTCACCTGTTACCCAGGAATATTTTAATTAACGTGCTCTATTGATTAAAAGTCAACATGATCTAGAAATATCTGAGAATTTAGTTCGGGTATTGAGTACAGATCTGAAAATCAGATAAAGTGTGCTTATTGGTATTTTACCAATTTAATGCATTGTCCTGAAATAATCTACTTATTTTAAATATGAAAGAAATCTACCAACCTGAATAAATGTAGTAAAATATATAACTACTAGAGTAGCGGTGACAAACATTTTCTTCCTAGGAAAAAGAGACAGAGGAAGCAAAAATGCAAGTGAAAAACTTCCAGCTCCTCGCACACCGCTGTAGAAAATTATGAACTGGTCCTTGATGGAGAAGGGGAACGTCCGAAACTGGTTACTGACATAGAAGAGAGCAAATACGCCTGGAAGGGGGGAAACAAGTATTAGCGCAGAGGGTCACGGATGCATAGAGACACTGTGCTAGTGAAATGAGGCCACGTGCACGTCCCCTCCTAGCCAGGCAGCCTGGTCCACGCACGTGCACGTCCCCTCCTAGCCAGGCAGCCTGGTCCACGCACGTGCACGTCCCCTCCTAGCCAGGCAGCCTGGTCCACGCACGTGCACGTCCCCTCCTAGCCAGGCAGCCTGGTCCACGCACGTGCACGTCCCCTCCTAGCCAGGCAGCCTGGTCCACGCACGTGCACGTCCCCTCCTAGCCAGGCAGCCTGGTCCACGCACGTGCACGTCCCCTCCTAGCCAGGCAGCCTGGTCCACGCACGTGCACGTCCCCTCCTAGCCAGGCAGCCTGGTCCACGCACGTGCACGTCCCCTCCTAGCCAGGCAGCCTGGTCCACGCACGTGCACGTCCCCTCCTAGCCAGGCAGCCT